TTTATCAACCCTTAAAGTGTACATTCATCTTAATCTTCTAAAGATATTACTTGATTCAAATTAAAAATACAACTGTCCAAAATTTGTCAACCCCTAAAGTGTACACTCACCTTAATCTTCTAAAGAAATTACTTGATTCAAATTAAAAATACAATTGTCCAAAATTCATCAACCCTTAAAGTGAAAACTCACCTTAATCTTCTAAAGAAATTACTTGATCCAAATAAAAAATACAATTGTCCAAAATTTATCAACCCTTAAAGTGTACACTCACCTTAATCTTCTAAAGAAATTACTTGATTCAAATTAAAAATAAAATTGTCCAAAATTTATCAACCCTTAAACTATACTCTCACTTTAATCTTCCAAAGAAATTACTTAATTCAAATTAAAAATACAATTGTCCAAAATTCATCAACCCTTAAAGTGAAAACTCACTTTAATCTCCTAAAGAAATTACTCCAGTCGTTTCAAAAGAACCACTAAAGAAATTATTCCAGTCGTTTCTAAAAGAATCCCTAATTTCATCAAACAAGTTCAGAAATCTATTCAGCTTAAAAAGACCTAAAGCGATTAAAAACTGTATAATTCACCCTAGGTGAATTCCAAAGCAATCTTTAATACAAACAAAATCGATCAGCGCCAAATGTTGCGGCACAAAGATATTTCTCGTTTACCTACCCCTAAGGATTCAACCCCCTTCGACCCCAAGGAATCCGCAGTACAAGTGTATATTCCCATCGCGGCTCTTTTAACGCGGCCACCACGACTGGCCAAGGAACAATCGGATTAACGAAGTTAAACGATGGGGTGGCCACCCCCGAGTCCCTCTGTTTCGAGTTCAACCACGCATCTGTCGCGTTTCGCACGTACAGGATCGTCAAGGTATTTGCGGGGGTGTTCTATCGGGGAAAAAGAAAACAACGAACGGCTTTCCATTCTGTCAGCAAGATTAACTACCACCGTATGGCAAGGGAGAGTTCGGAAGGGTGATTTGTTAACGACGTGGTTTTTTGAAGCGGAGTTGGGATTTTTTATTGGAGAGAAAGATTTGGGGATTTTTTATTGGAGGTTAGAGAAAGATTTGGGGATTCTTTATTGGAGGTTAGAGAAAGATTTGGGGATTTTTTATTGGAGGTTAGAGAAAGGTTTGGGGATTTTTTATTGGAGGTTAGAGAAAGGTTTTGTGATTTTTTAATCGATTCTATGGAAGGAGATTTTTTAGATATTTTGTGATGGAGGTTCGTGATTGGTAGATGGTAATATTTTGGAGATAAAATATTGGAACGAGGATTTGGACTTTTGGAAGATTTGACAAATTTTTTATTTTTATTCTTGGGAGGTTGTGGAGTTTTCAGTAATTCTGTATTTAAGGGTGGTTTGTGATTGATAGTGATATTATTATTAGGATAAAATATTGCATCAAGGATTTTATTTTTTAGAAAATTAAAGAAAAGTTTTGCAAGTTCCATTTTTTTTTAGTTTTTGAAGATTGTGGAGTTCTGAATAATCTTGTAATTTAAGGGTGCTTTGTGATTGATAAATAATAATACTATTTTTGAGTAAAATATTGCATTGAAAATTTGGATTTTTAAAAGGAAATTAAAGAAAATTTTTGCAAGTTTCATTTTTTTATTTTTGGAAGATTATGGAATTCTGAATAATTTTGTAATTTAAGGGTGGTTTATGATTGATAAATGACAATACTATTTTTCAGTAAACTATTGCACTGAAAATTTGGATTTTTAAAGGCAGATCAAAGACAAGTTTTGCAAGATTAATTTTTTATTCGAGGAAAATAATGAACTTCTCAGTGATTTCCTAATTTAAGAGTGGTTCTCGTGAATTGTAAACAATAACGTGGTTTTATGATGCAAAATATTACAATTATATTAGGTTCTGACAAGACTATAAATTTTACAATAATTTGCAGATTGAAGGGTAGTTCGTGATGCAATTTGTTGAAGGCAATTTTGTCTTCTTTTCAGAATATCGACTGAAAATGGAAATTTTTTAGAAATTTATGGGGGTAACTCGTAATCGATAACCGATGACACAGATTTTTGCCCAAGATATTGGATGAAGGATTATCATAAAGTTTATGGAATCCGATTTTCTGGAATATCGATCGAAAATGGAAATTGTGAGAAGACTTTACAAATTCTTTCATATCACGAAGAACCAATTTGTTAACATTTTTATGAAATTCAAAGGGTGGTTTGTAATCGATATTCGTTTTCTTTTATCAAGATATTGAGTTATAATGATACTTAAAATATCACAACAAAAAATATGATGGTACTGAAAAAAGTTTAATTTAGTGAAATATCAAGGGTAAAAATTGTATAGTAATTATAACTTGCTTAATTATTGTGTATAAATTTTTTTATCTCAAAATTGTGGCAGTCATGGAAAAAAAATAGAAGTCCACAGTATAGATAAAATATTTATAAAATAATTCCATAAAATATATTTTAAATTATTTTTAATTTTAATTTTAAATTATACCAAAAGATGTCTATCAATCCAGATAGTAAATTTTTTAAAACACATTAAATATTTTAAAAATAACTATGCCAAATGTAATTTTAAATACCATGACGTAATTAAGAAAATAAAATTTATCAGCACAAATTGTACAACAGAGACAAATACAATTTTAAGTCCAGATATCGACAATCTTTATCGACTTTTGTCAACAGATAATAAAAGATCGTATCACACCGATGAATCACGTTAGTATATCACTAATAAAATATTCCACTACAATTATAATTCACGGAGAAAAAATATTTTTAGTTAATAGCGTTTCCTTTCTCAAACGAGACTCCATAAACAGAAATTAAAGGCTCCAACAACATAAATTTCCTACAACAGCTTCTCGCTACACCATTATATTCATGCGCAGAGTTCTTCATTAACGTCGTATAAAATTCATATTTCCCTTACACGAATAGTCAGTGAACTAATTAAGCTGGAAACGAGTTAATTAATATCCATTCGCTTCTAATTAATTCAGGCACAACACGCATATACATGCCACGGTAAAATCGACCTGTGTGTTTTCTAATAACAACGACTTATTAAACTTTGGTCTAAACATGCCTTTCAACTTCTTTAGATAACATCGACAATTATAATTAACATTTTTTATGCAGAGCGCTCGTACTTTCTTCAATTATTGCTCTAATTTTAATAATGAAAGCTACATGCAGATTTAGACATTTAATACTTTTTAATTGTGGTGATATTTTAGTACATTAGTAATTAGATTGACAAGTTTATAATTGGTTGGGGAAAATTAAGTTTAGGTAGATACAAGGATACATTTATTATAATTTAATAGTAATATGTTTACAATTATTTATTAAATTTTAATATTGGGAAATTTACAATTATTTATTAAATTTTAATATTGAAAAATTTACTATTATTTATTAAATTTTAATATTGGGAAAATTACTGTTATTTATTAAATTTTAATATTGGGAAATTTACAATTATTTATTAAATTTTAATATTGGAAAATTTACTATTATTTATTAAATTTTAATATTGGGAAATTTACTGTTGTTTATTAAATTTTAATATTTGCAAATTTACTGCTATTTATTAAATTTTAATACCAGGAAATATACAATTAATTATTAAATTTTAATATTAGCAGGTATACAATTATTTATTAAATTTTAATATTAACAAATTTAAAATTATTTATTAAGTTTTAATATTAACAGGTGTACAGTCATATATTAAAATGTAATATTACCAAGTATACAATTATTGAAAATTTAATAGATAGTAAAAAACATTTTTACAAATTAAATATTCAATATTATTAAACCTTACAAAAATTCAACATTAGACTATACAACTGTATATTAAAATTTTATAAAAATATTAAATTGAACTATTCTAAAAAAAATGTATGCAAAAATTAAAAATGCAGTCTAAACTATCAAAATCATAAGAATTTAATTACCCTAATAAGTCAATACTGATAAGTGAGTTTAGTCATTTTTCTAAGAAAATGCGTAGTTGTGTACAGTAAAAGGAGAAGGTTAGAAAAGAAAATACAGGAAATGGGCATCGAGCGCAATTGTTAACTAGATTCGATCGTGGAATAAACAATTCGTAATGTGTTACGAAGGATGACTCACGTGGTAGCGGTGTTAATGAAATTCTGCTTCCTCGCACGACAAAGAAACGCGTGTCTGGCCTCTTGTGTTGCGAAGAGTCGTGCCTTGTGCGCTAATTTCACTAACTATCCGGTCAAGAATCGTTCAATGAACGATAACCCCAACTGTATTACGAAAATAGCCTTCTGGCAGTATTACACCCAGAAGAAGTACACAATCTACCGACAAAGTCCTTTGTTGAAGAACTGGTTGAAGAGAGAGTGAATCGACTTTCCTTTCTTTCGAATGAAAGAATATTAGATTGAATCGAACGTTAGTCTGAATTTTTAATACTTCAACGAGCTTAACGTATTTTTTAAAACCTGTATTGTGTTGGACCTGTATGGCCTCGTTATGTCACCTTTCATAATATTTATTTAATTTCATTCAAGTTCTCTGATTTATGTATGTGAAAAAATTAAATAGTGTAACTATAACTAAAAATTTAATATAATATATGAAATCATACAAGCACATATTAACTGTCAAATACTACAATTGTTTAATTTAACAAAATGTATTTAATTAATTATGAAATTTTATTAAATTAAAATATGTAATAAATGTAATTAATTTTGACTGTATAATTTCAATATCCGTATTTGAATAATTTATTACACATAGCAACAATTAAATTCTAATTAACCGCTCAACATCTGCTATCTCAGCATCACCATAACACCATGGAAAACCGTTTAAGTATTTATAAACCAGCGCCCCATGCGCCACACGTGTGGGGTATCGTAAAAGCATACTAGATCTTAGCGGGAGGGATCGCCATGGGGACAAAAAAAAAATGGACGAAAATATATTTGTACTCACCGAAAACATTTCCTAAGAGTCTGAGTCGCGCAACTCTGGTGGCTGAATGAACGGTTAACGGTCTTCTTGGACGATGATAGGACAATGCCAAAGCCATTGAGAATCGTTGGGAATCGAGATCAGAAAAGAGGACGTATTTGGAAGAAATAGTTCGAACGCTCTTTAAACTTTTTTGGAACTGGGTCTTGTAAATACATATCTCGAACTGAGGCGTATCAACTACTTCGCAATCTTTTATATCAATATCAATTGTGATAATCAATCGATACCTGGTCACTTCGTATCAATTCTAACCTAAACAAAAATGTGCAAATATTGGGCTACAGGTACCTACGTATTCACTTAATCTTTACGATTATTACAATTTTTCAAATAAAATACATTTGCGATGACACTCGTTCTAGTAATTTCTATAATTTTTGCACTTTGTACTCTGCGGTAAAATAATCTATACTTGTACGGTAAATAAACTGAGTACGTATACTAATACTTTTGATATCGAACTTTTCAATATCGCGCCTCGATTCAATGTCTCGAAGTATAAGTTGGTACTGACCGATACGTCAATCCTAACCTAGACTTTCGTAAAATAATTTCGAACGTTCCAATTTCGAATATTCTACGATTTGACTAGAATTATTATTTTCTCGTTTGAAGTGAGAAACGTATTAATGTTCGAATGAAATATACTCACTTAATTTAATAATTCTTCTATCTCCTCCCATCTCGTACTTTACGACAAGACAATATCGAAAGTTTTCAATATCCCGCCAGAGTTCGAGATCTCGAGATGCCTCAGAGGGGAAGATGGCGCTGCACCGGAGACGGAAGTAAGGAAGGAAGGAAGGCACGCGACAGATCCATCCCTGTCACCGGTTTTCCGTGGATCAAATCTCGACGAAAAGAATGAGAAACGAGGGAGAAGGATAAAAGGAGCGCGAAATAACGCGGAGATGCCAGGAAAAGGCGGGCAGCTTGAACCACGCCACCACAACGACTGGCTTTCGTTTCAGAAGCAAACTCCCCATCTGCTGTGTTCGATGTTGCCCCAACTCCCTGCTGTCATTACGCGGTTGTGTGTGTTTGTGTATGTGTGTATGTACGAGCACGCCTTTGTCGATGAACGTGTACGTGTGTGGTCACGAACACAGCCGGCCGGCAGGCGGACGTTCCTAACCTCTCGAAGCGGAAAGCTTGCGGTGGAATGAAACGCTATTATATCTGGAGGATCTTACCTTGCGGATATCTTGCAGATAAGCTGTTATTTTATCTTCCATTGACCAGTGTTTATCGGAGAAAACCGTTACGCGATGATAAAGAGCAAACTTCCCTGTTGTTTCGCAGGGGTTATGTACTCGGTCGATAATAGCCGATAAAGAAAAGCGTAAGTAAAAACAATGACTCGCAGCGGGTGGACTAACGACGGGGTACGATCGTTGTACTTGGTTCAAACGCACAATGAGGTCTAAAAATAATTACGTAATATATAAAAATTAAAAAAGGTATAATTTATATTAAAAGTTTTGGTAATGTATATTTCTCCTCTTTTATATTTAATTTGATTTAATTTTAGATTCTTGAATCCGAGATCTCTGGTTTTAACAAAATGGCGTTTGGTACTTATGGACAAATTAAATTTTTATACTTCAAGCAGCTAAGTATAACAAATTTATTCTTTATTTAAACAGACGTATTTTTTTTTATTGTAACTATTATAATTATGTAAAGTTTCACATCTCTTATAAGTACACACAGTGTCTAATATTATTATTGTATTTTTAATTAAAAAGTACCGGGTCCAATTAAACATGTATGTTTTATAGGAAAGGTGCAAGGTAAAAGAGATAGAAGACAGTCGAAAATTCGAGGCTTTTTCTTGACCCAAATCCAGACATTTAGCAAGCAGTTGTAAATGTAGATGTATTACCCGATTCGTGTGCAAGAGTATGTACAAGAAGCAGCATGTATGTCGCAGCTGCAGCTGCCTGCATGAACGGAACACGGGGCTTTTGGGGATGGCAACGGTTGTGCACCACCTGGCCTTAGGAAGCCAGCACCGGGCCTCCGACATTGGCGTAGACTGTAGACTTTGCAAGACGCGAACGACCGGAAAAAAGGGGGAACAGAAGAGACGAACAATAGACCGGCGACTTTCGAAATTCCGACACCCCTGGAAATGCTCCTGAACCCTCTAAATATCGATTAGTCCGTGTACTGAAAGGGAATTCGACGGAGAAAATACTTTTTTGCAATTCTGATGAGCGTAATTGGCGCAATTGTGGAACTTTGCAATTTTGGGACTTTAATTTGGCACTTCACATTTTAAGGATGTTTGTATTTTTATTTTTGGGATTTTGGAACTTTTTGATTTTTTAACTTTTGAGATTACAAAATTTCATAAGTTTGGAACTTGAAGTTTTGGACTTTGGAATTGACATAATTTTATAATTTTGAAAATATGATCCAAACGAGTAGGTCACAAAAGATCATGAGCAGGTTAGAAAAGGTTCATTTTCAAAAGTGATTTAAATTTTTCTTTCTAATCAATTCAAAGGTCCTAGCGAGTAAAGATATAAAATGAAGATTTTGGGAAGTGATTACGCTTCTTAATTTGTACTTATTTGAATTCTGGACTACACAATTTTGTTTTGTGGGTTGATTTTCATGCATCAACGACAAAGAAAGCCTTATTGATGGATGGGACACATTTTATTACCGTAGATCCGCGACAAATGACGCAGGGTAGAATTTTTCCCGCTTTACGAGCCGATAACTTTTACGGGGTATTACCATACTTGATCGCATTAATAGTTCTGAGCATAATAAGTCACGATCGGATTAAGGGTAGCCAGGAACCCTAGCAGACGTTTGCTCACGGCTGCTTAATGGACACGTTAGTTCCATAAGCGTGATCACGCACCCTCGTTTTATTCTCAAAGAAGAATACTACGCAATCGATCGTAAACTTTCGATAATTTCAATTTCTTCTTTTCAAAAATTACCAAATTAATTAGTCACACAGATTTACTCTTTATTGTACATATGTTCATAATTATACATCACTAATTTAATATAATAAAATTGAATTTTCATCAATTTTAAGATGCACAAAATAAATTGTAATCTCAAACAGGTTACATATTACCATAGTAACGAGCTTGTTAAATGGAAGAATAAAAGCAATCTACGCTTCAATTAAATAATAATCAATTTTCATGGAAACAAAATAATGAATAATTAATCTGTCTGCATTAACAATAGTAATTATCCAATGATTTCCATTAATCAGTAAACAACGTATAATATAATAAAATGTATAATAAATGCAATGCAATAAAGTTTGCAACAAATACAACAGAATAAAATATGCAATAAATGTAACAGAATAAAATATGCAATAAATATAACAGAATGCAATAAATATAACAGAATAAAATGTAGAATAAACAAAAATAATTCTTTTTGACAGTATAACAAAATTGTATATTTTCATTAGGAAAAATGGCAACACGAACCATTAAATAATGGTATTACACGAAATTGAATTCTGGTATTCCATAAAGTAAAAAGATGGGCAATTTCGATAAAATTATTTCACGAATTAACGCGTAAAGTCGACGTGTACGAGCGCAGAATTTCTATAGAATTTCCAGAGGCAGCGAGCTGCAATAGAGGGGTGAGAAGGCTTGCGCAACCCTCTATCCACCCCCGCACCCCATACGCCCATGGGGTTTGCGCGTTGATATCGCAATAGAAGCTGTATCGATCCCGTCCCGACACGAGACCGGCTGTTGTCAGGGGGTTGATAACGATATGCAAGCTCTATAGACAGCGCCGCTAAAAGCTCCACGAAGCTTTCAGCCTCTGTCGCAACTGCCTGGATACACGCCACTCCCCTCTCTCGGGGATGTTTTAGCCATTTTTCGTCTTGTATCCAACCAAAAGTAACGATTGACCCTCCTACGGTGTAACGAAAATTTGTCCTTCAAGATTTAAGAGTTTGAAAGTTAGCTGTGTACCCAAAGTTAGGGGTGCTGAAAGCTTCTTTTTCAACCCTTTGTAAAGTCAAAATAATTTTAACGACATTTCAGGAACTTCGTTACTTTTTTTAGCGTTATTAATTATTCAAAGTTTATGGGACATTGAATATTTAATTTTCATATTTGCAAATTAAATTGTACGTTTTTCAAATTTTTTAATTTTTATATTTTAGAATACTTGAATCTGATTTCTGAGTTTTTGGGGTAGAAATTTTCTGGGTTTCTATATTTACAAGTTATTAAATTACTAATTTCTATTTTTAAAATAGGTAAAACAAAAAATTTCCGATTTTTTTCAGTTTCAAAATGTTTAAAATTTCCAAATTTTTTAATTTTTGTATTTTCAAGTTAGAGGCTCTAGTTTGTAAGTAATTAAAGTTCCAAAGTCCTTAAGATTTCAGCGAGTTTAATGAAATTATTGGAGAAAAAATAGGAAACGTGAAAACATTGATGGTGTTGGTGGATCGATAAGCGGACTTCGATAGCTTTTAGAAGAGGTCTGTCGATTTATCTCGAGCACCTATCCATTAACGTTTGTCGGCAGATTGACGAACGATAGCTCGAGAATTTGAACGAAAATTTGTAGTGACATTCATACGTCGTGAAAATGAAGGTTCTTCACTAATCTTTGAAGATGACTTCTGAAGAAATTTTTGTTCTTATTCATTGAATTTATATTTTTGATGAAAATAAAAATGGCTGCCATAATGTATATACACACAATGTAATATATTATTTAAACAATATAAATGTACAATGTATTATAATTTAAAAAAAATGTTGATATTTAATGTAACATATTATTTAAACAATATAAATGTACAACGTATTATAATTTTTAAAAAATGTTGAGATAAGATGTAACATATTATTTGACAATGTAAACGTACAATACAACCTAATACATAATGTAATATATTATTTAAACAATATACATGTACAATGTATTATAATTTTAAAAAAATGAATAGATAGAATGTAATGTATTATTTGACAATATAAATGTACAATGCAATGTATTATTTATAAACGTGCAATGTAATATATTATTCAAATAATATAAACATGTAATGTAACATATTATTTAAATATTATAAACATGAAATATAATATATTATTTAAGCAATGTAAACCTGCAATATTAAATACTATTTAAACAATATAAACATGCAATTTAATGTATTATTTAAACAACATAAATACATAATGTAATGTACTATTATAATTAAGAAAAATATGTAATTTCCTCCATTCAAAAATTATACAAAACATGAATCTAAATATCAAGTAGAAAATAAAAGTATCACAAAAATGATAGTATTAAATTAAAAATAAAAAAATAGAATATTTAACAATATAAAATTGCAGTGCATCAGTAAAATATTTTTGTTGTAAAAAACTGTACATAAATTATAAATATGAAATTGCTAAAACCTTGTAATTTTGCAAATATTTTAAAATTCCAAAAAATTCTATAAATAGTGTACGAACAAAGAAACCGAAATTTTCTGAAAAGCGAAAGGAGAAGAGTGAAAGGGATCGAATTTCCATAGTCGCGAACAGATGGCTCGTTTTGCACGTGCTTCCCGAAAGGAAAAGGCGGCTTCTTGTTATCGCAATTTGCATGTGAATTCCCACAAGCTCGGTGTACGGATATTTTTTGTTCGTTCAAAGTGCGAGGATCTAGTCCTGTCGCAGGAAGGAAGGAAGCAGGAAAAGAAGGGATCATGTGCAAGGGGAAGCACGGAGAAACCAACAACTTCCCTTCAGGATATTGTGGCAGATGGGCCATGAAGCTTATCCCCAGAACCTAATGAATCTGCGTGTAAATTGTCCGAAAATAGTCGAACGAGCCATTAACGCTCAAGCTTCTCACTTTAGTACTTTACTCTCCTGAAATACACCTCAAGCTTCAAACTTTTTTTGTGGTACAATTATTTAATTATAAGTTTAAAACACAGCTAGAAATGTTAACAAATTTCATTTTATTACTGCTAATATTTTTAACAAATTTACCATGATATCCAGACTTCAGCTCTTTAAGTTCACTTCAAGCTTTATAATTTTTTTTTGTTACAATTATTTAATTATAAGTTTAAAACACGGCCAGAAATGTTACAAAATTTCATTTTATTGCTACTAATATTTTTAACAAATTTGTCAT